TGCATTGATCTTTCTATAATAAACACATGGTCTTATCGCCCCAGATTTCTTTCGAACAAATACTAGCCCATGGTGACGTACTTTTTTGGATAACGCCCTATTTTAACAGATCAAAAATGACTGCTTTTTCCGCAACTTCATATGCAAGTGGGACTCGCCTTTGTCTTTGTTTAAATAGAGGTGCATCTGCAGTGTCAATTAAGTGTTCTGCAAGTAATGTCAAGTCGATGTCCCATTTGTCTTTTGAGAAGGTTTCACTATTGCAAGTCCCGCTACAGCATTTTTTCTGATTCACTTTTATTAGCTGTGGATTTCTCAAATAGGTTTTGCAAATGATCCGGTACTTCATGAATATTAAAGTTCAATACATCAGAATTACTTTTACTGACTTTCATTATGATGTTGAAACGACATAATTATGGAAGTTTTCACATTCTCCTTTATCCCCCTTATCAGTTAAAAAACTTACTATACCCTCTACTTGCTTCTCCAATTTGTGCATTCTTATACAGTGTCACATCTGCTGGCATTGGATTCAGTTCCTTTACTTTACATGTGGGACTTCTGTTAATATTTACAAATGATGAAGCCATAACTAACTGATATTTCTGCCTAAAGATTTGACCTGGTTCAACTATATACTCTTGATGAATATCATAAGCATGAGGTTTCTCTCTTTCTACAAACACGTCTACCAACATCTCATATCTCCCTGGTATACAAACATCATCCGCAACTGTAACTCTTCTTGATCTTTTCCCCTTTCCTACCTGGAAACAAGGAATTTCTACATCATTCAATTCTATTACTTCTCTACTCAACAGCAAATTAGCCGGCCCATGTACAGCTCCCTTTAATGTATAATACCCTCTTAAGGCATCATCTTCAATATCAGTAACTATCATTTCTTTCTTCATTTATTATGACCCCATTGTAATTCTGAATTCGCCTTTACCCAACTCCTTTGTAGGTGCATCATTAGCATCACAAAGATTACTGCATTCTGTAACTTGGGGCTCTTACTCAAATCTAAGTTGCTGTAGCCCCTTTCGGACAGTCTAGACTTAAATGCTGCTGTATCAGCAGTAAATATTATGTCTACTCCTTGTATGCTTCCCCTAAAATAAACCCTATCGCTGAGCCCCTTATTTTGTTTTGGCTCTTCTTCTACCTTTTCACCCTGCAGGTTTTTTCTTTGGCCCTTACTCTCTAGTTGGACCCCATCCTGGCTACATGGGCAGGTCCCTGAAATTTTGAATTACTGATCACCTTTGTTTTCTTATCATTCGTTCTATTCCTTTAGTTTCTCCTAGATATATCTTTATCTGGACAATCTCTAGCATAGTGACCTGTGTCAAGTCAACTAAGGCATTCTACTTGTCTCTTGTTTTGAGTTGGAGGATTTTTGACTTGATATCCTCATCATTCCAATGGTACCAATCGGCAATGGTCTCAAACCTGGTAATGCAATCATGCAAGTCTTCCATACCAGTGAATATGAGAATTTTGATGTTATCAAATCCCTTATTGCGCAAACCATAACCACTATTATTCACTTGGTGATATATGTTCAAAGTGGTTATCATTTTCCCCGTAGTTTCTTCGGTTGATTATTCTACCATAAGAGTTATTTGTATATGAACTTTCATTCAACTGTGACACATCTGAATAACGGTTATACCCTACCTCGGTGTCATGTCATCATCTTGAAAACTAAACATTTCTATTTATATATTGAGCATGTTCACATAAATTATTGAAGCTCTGGTTTTCAGAAGGCCTATTAGATGATAAATTATTTGTCTAATTATAACCTTGCAGAATTGTCTGTTAAAGGACTCTTAAGTTTTTGGACTTCTTATTTGAGATATTGCTTGAGTCTCTTGAGCAGACCCTATTCTAATTACTTTGATCATTAGATGTGTTGACTGCTGTTGCTGTATATGATCTTGACAAACATCAACATCAGACAGTGTATTGTTTGTATGCAAGCTTTGAAGACGACTGGTCCTAGATATTGACCCCTGATTCTCAGAACGCCTAAAATACTTCAGCATCACTGCCGACAGGTGTATGAAAATCCATATCTCTATCTATTTATGTACTTGATAATGGGTTGAAGCATGTGTTCGAATCTCAGGATCCTCTTCAAAGTCAAAATGATCCCACCGCTGCTATCAAAGATAATGTTGCACGGCGGTGATGTCAATGTATTGGTAGCGCAAAGAAGCACCGACCTCGCAACAATGTGTTTCTTTTGTTCCACACAATGTCGTAAAGTTGAAGTCTCTGAACCAGTGAAGCTCAATGCCACAGGTTATACAAGCTGATCTTTTCTGATGCTGAAGACTTTGGTCTCCACAGGGAATTATGGATAGTCATAGATAAACAAGGGTTTTTTTTTTTATAAATTAAATGCAAAGGAAAAAGACTTATATATGGCAGTACTTTCTCTCTATTCAATATTATATTAAGTAAAAAAAAAATTGTAATGTATGCAAAATAGTCCCGAAATGTTGTTATATATATAAAAATAAATAACTCTTGTACACTAAATTGCAAGAAGGAAAATCCAAAAAAAAAAAAAAAACCTACGCAAAAATTCACAATGATCTGTCGACTATTATGGGAGTGGAGATATATCTCAATTGATAATTTATCATAAATCTTGTATTTTGCTAAATTTATGGAACAAATAGTTGTTTATCAAGAATATTACTAAAGAATGCTTCAAGGATATATTCAATTCATTTATACTATTATATGAAAGAATCCTATTCACTTAAAAATTGTATTATTTTGTTAACTTTGAAATTATCAGAGATCGTTCAATTTGTTGCTTGAGAATTGGAAAGGAATCTGACAAAGATTTACCCTAGATGTTTCTAAGTTGTGGAGACCCCGAATGACGGGAACAATCAGTTTATATGCCCGAGGACTGAGCGCAAAAATAGTTTGTGTGTGCACAAAAATAAGTGCTGGTACACAAAATTGTACATGTACAATACAGGAACGCCACTGGATGACAAGTGTAAAAACAAACTGTGAACTGGAAACCAAAAAGCGATGTCAAATTCAAAATTTATGCAATAAATATTTCCAAAAAATAATAAAATAATAAATATGACAAAAATATATCAAAGATGAAGAGTTTCTTACATTATAACTCTTTAGACTCATGTCTCCAGAAAAGTGTAAAAAAAACACTGATATTTAAACGTTCTACAGTTGCTAGGGAGAAATTTACCCAAACACCGCTTAGCAATACCCGGAAATAAATTAAATTGACAGTAATAACCGAATATATACGCCTAATAGACAATTATTTCTGTTTTGAAATAATTAAAACATGTTAGCACAAATGATATCTTAAATCATAAGATAACAATCAGCTTATTAGACCCAAGTTGATCTTTTCAAAAAGTGTCCAACATTCAGATACGCAGTTTCGTCATACAAAATAAGCTAAATGTGAACAATAGACGTATTAAAGATGAATCTTTCAAGTACATGCTTGCCAATTTAACATTTTACACAGCATTTATTTTAGTGAACACATTATTTTACATATGAACTTACCTGAGTTTGTTTTACACAAGAACTTACTGAGTTAAAAAGTTTTATTAAAAATAACAATACCACCCATTAACATACACAATCTTCTTAGTTCACCCATGCACATGAACGCATCGAAAATCACTCACATGATTCATTAAGTGTCCTTTACCGTGCTTATTGATGTGTTCAATAGCTATAATGTTTATAATTTTCATATCTTTTGCATATCACTCAAGTATTTATAAATATAATTGCCTACCGACTGCGTAGATGATGGTGATAGAAGTTCCCTTACCAATACACAACTCGTTCATTTAGAAATACATACATCTAACAGTGTTCCATATTACATACATCTAACAATGTTCCATTTTTTTCAAGATTAATAAACATTGTTAAAACTTTCCATTAATTATTCTGTCAATTCTAACAAAAGTGTTTGTACATGTTTTTGATTTTCAGTGTTTTTCAGTATTTCCCATTGTTGAAACCAAGGCCGGCTAAAAGTTTTTTTACAGAGTTATATATTTTTCAAAGCTTTTCGTCAAAGCTGTTTGCATTAAAAGAATGATAAAAGATAAAACGTTCACATCCAGTTTGCCAGAGGCTCGCATAACTTTTTTTCAAATCGTTCAATAAATTCAGTATCGGAATTACACTCATTCAATATCCTCTATTTATACCATTCAGTTTATAGATATAATCTGGATAATTATGTTAACAAACATCTTTTTGTATTGACACTTAAATTGAATAGGACATTGTGTATCAATACGTTGTCAAATATTCTTTGTCTACATTTTTTTTAAATTTCTTTATTTCAGTCTCATCTTTACATGAAATTACATATAAAACGTAAAACACATACATAAAATACATGAAAAGCCATTCTAAAAGAATTACAAAAGACTATTTATTTTTACCTCTAAGGGGTGACAAATCCATATACCATATCACAGCAGTTAACTGTTTTATGTACTGAGGAGTTGTCCCCCCTAGCTACACAAATTTCATATAATCATTATCATTCATTAAAAGGTTGTTGTATTTTAAACAAGATTGCATTTGTAAAAAATGTTATGCCACCGCATTAATACAACACTAAATAATAATGTAGGAACAGAATTGTTATGTTTCTTTACAAATGAAGATTGCCATATTGCATTTATCACTGACCTATCTAATTCTTATTATTAGATTAGTGGTTAAATCTATTGGTATTCCAATAAAAGATCAGAGTAAGAATCTATCAATGCAGTTGAGTCTAGTGAATTTTGTGATGAAGGGCCAAAATACCATGACTGTACATCTACAAAATCTAGGCCAGCTGATATCAAAGTTCACTTTACATCTTAATCTGTGCACATGGTTCAAATTTCACAGCTTCAGATAAAAGGACAAAAATTTACAAGTCTACATACATATTTATATTCATTGATATGTAACCAACTAAGCAAGCAGAGTATTTGTTTTGACTTCAAACATTTAATCTTAAACCTTGAAGAGAGGAGGAATATAGGTAAGAGTTAATACAATTTTCTTTGAAAATAAAATTTGTAACTTTGATTTGACATAAGGAATGAAAACGCCCGAAAACACACGAATAAGAAATAAATAAATTAAATAATTTCATAAAAAGTACATTGTTTAAGAGATCCCCGGAAAAAAATCATATACCTGTCAAAGGATGTTGTTTGATTTCTTAACTTTTCTACAATTTGAATAAATGTATGTCTAATATAGATTATTTCCCTAAATTCCACAAATTAAAGTAAATAATACCCACTTGTGCAATTCCGTGTATTAGACTGTTAACATGTCGTTATAAGTGAAAGAATGTAACGCTTTCTTATTTTAACGTTTAAAATAATATTTTTTTCCTAAATTATATAATGAGGTTTAATAACTTGAAAGGTAACTTGAAATAGTTTTTTTGTGATTTGATCAATATTCTCCTGCAACACTGTCGCCATAGGTTTTACCCACGACTCAGTAAAAAGCAAAAAGAATGTAAAAATGAAATGACACTTAAATAAAATGATTTGGATATTTGTAAATATGTCTTAAGTATTGCTTATAAAGTCATGATAATGCAGAATACGAATAGATAAAACATCGTGAATTTCCCATACATGTAACCGCCCATTTTTTTTAAATTACAAGAGACTCAATGTAAATAAAGCATTGTGAATAAAGTAAGATGAACAGCTTAACAAGTTAAAGAAGCAAAACACACGACAAAGGGATGAAGACTTATGTTGGTCATAATTGACAACACAAGTTTAGATTTTTTTATCGGTTGTTTATTTTCATTGAAATACATCAAGGTATGAATCTATATTTAGGTAAAAGTGGTATATTTTGTAATTATATTTCTTTTGCAATAAAAAGAACCAGATAAGTGATCATTTTCACTAACTCGTTATCATATCAAATGAAAATGTTTCAAGTAGTTATAACTAAAGATAGTAATAAATTGTTTCGACATTGACTTAAGATAATTATTAAAATCACGTGTTTCAAAGATTACATTCATTATGTCAACATGTTTATTGTAGTGGATTTTTGACAAAAAATAACGACAAAAACAGGTGCATATTGGTGAAATTATATTTCACAACGAAGTATAGATTTTATCATGCGTTGATATTCATTGAAATACAAATTTTGTATACATTAAATACAAAATTAATGATATATGTTATTAAACTATGAGATATATGTTTCCTAACTTAATCTTTTTAACTATTAGGCAAAATACGAATTTGAAAATGCCTACACTAATTAATCTGTTGCATGCACCAAGGTTATCATATCAAATTGAGATATCAATTTTGGCATCTTTAGTGTTTGCACATTGATAAAATCAAACATAGCAAACATGAAAGTTTTAAACCATCAGTTAATAAAAATTTCTTTAAAAAAAAATAATTTCATCAATGTCAGTAGAAACAAGAAGTACAAATGTTTAACATGCAAAAGTATATAATTTAAAGTTTTCCATATTAGCAATGCTTGTATTACAATGACATGATCTTTCTTGTACTTATTAAAAAAAAACCCATTTTGAAAACATTGAATTTCAGAAATTAAATTATAATACCATACTGATATTGGTGATTTGTCAAAGAAGACCAACGTCTTTTTAAGGTGACATTTTGACTTGTTTTCCGTCTGACTTCATAAATTTTGTAATCATTTACAAATAAGTCTTAAAGTTAAAAAACTATCCCCATTCCTGTACATTTAATTATAGAACTATCTTTACATTTTATTTTATATTGACACAACTATCCCTTACATTTTATTATAAAGCTATCTTTAAAATTTTATTTTAAAATTGTAAGAACTATCCTTAACTTGTTTTTACAAATTATTTTTGAATGACCAATGAAATTCACCGATTTTAGTTTCTAATTTTAAAATGACCAATAAAAATTCTACTTATATTCAGTCCTTTCCTTATAATATTACAGGAAGTCAAACCGATAACAGACGGACTTCGTCTTTAAATATAAGTACAAATAAACTCGTAAATTGGATGTTAGTTGTTTTGTTTTAAATTCGTAAATATTTGAACGAAACCAATCTTGCTGAAATCGATTTTACCGCGATTAACAAGGATGTAATTTTTATATATTTCAGTGCCATTTAAAACCAAATTTAAATGATGGCTAGCGGAAAAAAGGTTGAATATAACAACGAACGTACTGAAGAAGAAGAAGCTTTACTCGATGACGTGTTCAAAACGAAAGGTTTTGAAGGTATACAAAAATATATCAAAGAAGGATTAGATAAATGGCGTGAAACTGAATTGCATATTGCAGTTACTGGAAAATCAGGAGCTGGAAAATCGACTTTTATCAACGTCATTCGCGGACTTAAAACGGGAGAGGATGGTGCCGCTGATACTGATGTCGAAGAATGCACGAAAACTGTTCAGTCTTACACCCATCCTAAAAACAAAAAAATAGTATTTTGGGATTTACCTGGAGTGGGAACGAAGAAGTTCAATCGAGAAAAATATAGTGATCAAGTCAAACTAGCAACATATGACTTTTTCCTTATATTTTCATCACAGCGATTTTTTGATGACGATGAATGGCTGGCAAACAAAATAAAACAGATGGGAAAAAAGTTTTACTTTGTACGAACCAAAGTGTCCCGTGAAATTGACGATGAGGAAAACGGTAGGACAGTCGCACGTGGTAGAGATGTAATCTTGGAAAAAATACGGAAGAACTGTTTAAAGAACCTAGAAGAGATTGGTATATCTGACAGTTTCGTTTACTTGATCGACAGCTTTAAAACAGATGACTTTGACTTCAATAAGCTACAATCATGTCTAATCGAAGATTTACCACAACTGAAACGAGAGGTCATAGTTTTTTCAATTATTGGTAAAACCGACGATATGATGTCACAGAAAAAGAAAGAACTTGAAAAAAGAATTCCACGCATTTCACTGATATCTGCAGTGACTAGCGCGATTCCAGTTCCAGGGATTAACACGGCTGTGGATTTTTTTTTAATGAAGAATGAAGTCGACTTTTACAGAGACCAGTTTGGTTTGACCAAAGATGCGATCAACAGGAGTGCGCAAATGCTAGGAATGCGCGAAGAAGAGCTGAGAAAGGATCTTAAAATGAGAGGATTGTTCATGGATTACACAGTGAAAGGATTAATGGCGCTCTGTCAAACAATTGCCATAACGGAAGCAGTGGAAGAAGTTGCAAAATTCATGCTCCCTATTGTAGGAAGCATTGCAGCTGGAGCGATATCATACAAATCAACTCAGTACTGGATGAAAAAAATTCTTGAAGGCTTGTACCAAGACGCTTTGAAAATCAACAAAATGATGAGTATGCATTCAGCGAAATCATCGTCGGTTTAAGACTTTGTCTCTTTCTTATCATATAAAGAAAGGGGTCAACAATAATTGGTGCGAGAATATCTGAATGAGAGTGTTTGGTCTGGGGAGATGCAAGACAAGATTGATCCAAGATGTTTTGATATTTAATTAACTTTTTTGAATCTTTTCAAAATAATATATATGTCATTACATTCGTTTTAAAGTAACCATAAACACCATTATTTTAATGGTAAGAAAACGACATCGCTGAAAAACACATTGTTGAATCACAGCGACTGTTCATCTTTTGTCAAGAGAAAAAGTGCATATACATTTGTATAAGAAGTTAAATCTCTACATTATAACTGTTTATAGGGTTAAGTTTGTGCATCTAGTTTCACCTGACTGATTTAAAACTTTCCAGCAAAGAAAAACATTGTCGATTTTTATTAAATTAAGTTATTTTGAAGGCGATTTGGAAAGGAATTGGTTCTCATGTTTATTCAGTGTTTTTAAAGGTTACCAAACGGACATTGTCATTTTATTTTAAATAATGTTGTTGTGGAGAGGATTTGGATAGGAATTATTAAGTGACGCTTATCAAAAAAAAAGGAATATGAAATGCTATGCTCTTTATTTAGACGTGACGTTTTATCTTTAGCAATTGAAATCATTTCTTATGCATACTCTTCTATGAATATCCACTTATCGTAACTTTTGTTTTTGTTTTTGAGGTATTTCAGATAATAGACATATATATTATGTTATAGCTATACTATAGATAGCGAGATTTTTATGTAGAAATATCATGGCTTGGGCGACATCGAAGGTTTTCTCAACAGAAAAAAATTTAGGTCGTAAGGCCGATAACATTTGGTGAAGGGAAAACCCGAGATGCCGCTACAGGCCAATATATTTCTACATAACAGTAGAGGTCGATATATTATAACTTTTTTATTGCATGATAACTAGAAATGAGAATTATGATTAGACATAAAATTGCTTCTCTGAATTAATGAAATTCCCCACATTGAACCTCGGTTACTTGTTATGGTACATGTCAATGACCGTTTTATGTATTAATCAGATGTATGGTGGGTGTTCCTGATTGGTTGGATGATCAAAGACACATAAAAACATTGCTGTAAATAATTGTGACGCTCAAATATTAAGCTAAGCGCCTTTTGATCAGCATTTTTAATGACATGCCAACAAATGATTTCAAATTTATTTCAATTAAAACAATTATTCTTATTTCCTCGGGGACTTGGAATTGATAAAAGTGCATGTATTGCTACACATGAAAAGGTTTATAGAGAAAATGCCCCCTAGCACCAAATAGCATTCAGGAAAATGGGTTAAAAGGTTTTCAAACAAGTACGTTCATGCAACAGACAAAACTTTTTCTAAACTGAAAGCCATATCCTCAGTACCCCATTGCCTATCCCCTATCTGAATTAATACGCTTTTTTTCCAGCCAAATTTTGGTACAGTCAAATGTTTTTTGTCTTCGTTCACAGTTTTGAACCAAGTGTACTTATTTTACTGTGCTTTTTTTTTAAATAACGCACACTTTTTCTACATAAGTGTGCGTTATCTGAGATATTGTCCTATACGTTATTGCCAATAAAGCATATTACTAGTGTATAACAGTTGAGGAAATTCAAAGTAAAATCATGCGATAATAATATAATATCGGACTCTTTTTTACCGAGTTAATATCTGATGCAACATTTATAAATCATGGTATGTTACAGCTTGTGATTATGAATAAAACACGGATTTTAACGAAAATATTTTACATTTCCTTATTTCTTTGTTGATTTACTTCGATGTTTATTGACTAACGTCGCATGACTTGCGAATTTCTCACATTCAAAAAGCCTTGCATGTATTAAGGGATATATAATGTCAAGCCGGCGGAGAGTGGCTGCTAGTCCTCGGGAACAATTATTTTTCTTAAACTTAGTTACATAGAAAAATGGGTTTTCACATGCTTATCAGTACTTGGAGTTTATGTTTTCATTCTAACTCATTTATCATGGGAAAAATATTTCTTAAATGATTCTGGATACTACTGCTCCTGGTGAGTATCTTCTGTAAGACATTGCAGGTTGGGTCTGTAGAGCGAAAAATACAATTGGCAAAGTTTAAGGAATATTTATAGGAAAGGGTAACATTACCTTTGAAGCAATAACATGACTTCATATATTGACGTCACTGAATACCCACAAGGATAATTTGATTTAATTGACATCACATTGATTCTATCTTTACTGGATTAAAGTTAGAACTTATTCTAGGTCTCCATCTGGATTTCTAATCAGCACCAACTAATAATGGGTGAAATATAAGACATGGCACAAGTTTTATTTTGTAAAAAAGAAGTTAAGCTTACCAAATATCCTTCTTTGGCAACACTAAATTTAATAATATATCAAATAGGAGTCCAGGTATAGAAGCTGGAAAAAGAATTACATGTATCCATAACAATAAGCTTAAGAAACAAAATCGTAGCTGATGAAAGATTGAAAGACATGTACATGCATAATGCCGGCTTGTGGAAGATTGATTGTCGTAACTGATAAATGAATGTTGTAAAATGCTCAACAATGAAGAACTCATGGTCGTTCATGGCCGTTCACTAACGCTCGCTTTCTGAAATATATCAACAGTCTGTTGCCTGCTTATCATAATCGGTAACATTGTTTAGATGTAGCTTCCTATGACTTGAAACGGGCTATAACTGACCGGACAGTTTAATCTTGAAATAGACCATAAGATGTTAATTAGGCGGGTGCGATGTGTTGATTCTAGAATTAGAAAATCACGAGTCCGAAGTATCTTAATCGCTTGATTCCGTGACAGAATCAAGCAAGAACTAATAAAGCTCTTAATTAAAAGCTTCAGAAACTAAAATGATATAGTTTTTCCTTCTCATGAGAAGAAAGAATAATATAAGATAAGGCATTGGAAGCCATAGATTTTAGAAAGTATTATACAAACAGAAGGGTATTACCACCCGTTGTTATTGCTACCATTTCTTACTTTCAACAAAGAATCCTGTAAAACTTATTCAGAAGCCACCACCATTGTATCACGTGACTGCTCTTCTATTTCTGTGATTCTAATTGGTTCTAAGAACGAAAACTGTTTAATTGATCGTGTCAGAAGTGCTACAAGAAATCGTAACAAAACTAATAATAGAAATATGGTAATTGATCCCGATTTTGTTTTGACTCAGAACATTATTTACCGGTGTACGTTCCAATACCGTGAGTTTTAACAGCGTTGTTTGGCCTTGTAAGTATTTGTTTAACTTTAATTTTTCTATTAATATATAGTTTCATATATATTTAAAGTCTTGCCACAAACAGAAGTAAGTAAACCTTCGAACATCAATTTAGACATGTTTCTTCTTTTTTAATTTTGAAAACAAAAATGAAGTTAGACAGCGAATTTATGAAATGTAAGCGTCTCCTTTATTCATAAGTGATAAGCTTAAGGTTTAAAGTGTATATTTGAAATACTTTGATTCTGAAACAAATTAAACAGTTCGTGTTTTTTTTTATATTGAATGGATGTTTTTTTGCAGCGGAAACATTAGTTTAGAAAACTCAAGTCACCCTCAGAAGTATTTCATTTATATGAAATAACAGTTTAAGTAAATAAAAAGAAACTATTTTGATCAGTTAAAATTAAAGCTTTTATTTTATTTCATTTTTGGAAAAGATCAACCATTTTAATGTTTTCGCTATATTCGCTACTTTTCATTTGCTTTGTTTTTCTCTTCGTAAACAGTGGCGTTAAAAGTATAACGGACCCTAACGGACTTTAATAAGAATCGGCTTTTACTACCTTTATTCTTTTTTTATAGTATAAGAAACAGTAGTAAATTTCACAATTTAATTTTTAGCATTATTTATATTTCTATTACCATGTTCATTCTTTGCTTTTTATTCATATTTCTTTGACCATGGCCCAGGAATATTACTTTTTTAATGAAAAGAAATTACTCTATATATATGGTATATTTTAAAGACAACGGTGCTTTTTCTTTGAATTTCTTGGGTAACATTACAACATGGTACACGAATCATTTACCTAAACCGGGATTCGAGCCCCAGACTTCTCCATATAGGATCTGTTATTCATAAAACGTAAATGGAGGTAATTTACCGAATCAAACAATATGACAATAGACCTTTTGCAATACGATATGATCATAGAAACGATAGTTTCCGTGGTAAAATTAAGTAACATTTTTGCATTTACGTATTAAACAGGGGCTTTCAAATTCGTATACAAGCATAAGTAAGAATTTACCATCTCCTCCGGTTAATATTCTCGTTCTGTTCTCATACTTAAGGACTTTTCAAGTTATGTCACCCGGCAAACAAAAAAGTTTAGTAGGACTTTAAGCTTTAACTACGTAAAACGTGATTGTGTATTTATATTAAACATAAGAAAATATGCAGGACTTACTAATTCAATAATCCAACAACGCGTAAAAAGTCCTATGTTTCAAGTATCATTAGTCGACATTTTCAAAAGTAATTTTAATTGAAAGAGCAGGATGTTTACGATAAAACTTCATTAACCAAGTATCACTTTTCCTTTGATTATGTGCAATGGCAAGGTGGTAAGTGTCGAACAGATAAACACGAAACCTGATTTTTAGCTAGCATACAATATTATTTAACCAGGACGGTTTAGTGCCATGACATTTCTATTAATTAACGTACTATTATGATAATCGCAATTTACATATACCTATCATTTCAATGTTTGAAATTAATTTTGTGAAGTGACGTATACTGTTTGATCCATTTACCTAGATTTTGAAAATGTGTTACGATAAACTGGATAAAGTGTGTTATTTCACTACCCGTCTGGGCATTGTTCTTAACTTCTAAATGTGTTAGATTACTGAAACATATCCATGTGACAGTTTGGCAACAGAGTCAAATTGGATAAAGAAATCTGGCAACTATATACAAAAACATGAAGAATATCACATATTCTGACCTTTTTCTTCAGAATGAAAATTTACGTTATTTAAATCTCTTTAGTTTTCTTATGAGAATAATCTCAAGAAGAAAAATATAAAATATAAATATTTTTTAATCGTTTGAGCGGATTATTGATTTTTTCGTGAACATTTTTTGATAATGTCACAGTGAAAAATAATCAAAATATAATTTTACACTTTTCAATGACGAGAATTCTTTTCAAAGATTTTCCCCACGTGGTACCTCAATTTTATATTTGCTTACAATTGTGACAATGTCAGGACTGTTTAGAGAAAAGTAAAGCAGAAATTAATAAATAACTTAAATTTCAAAAATAATAAAAAGACAAACTTACTTCAATCCATTTCAATAACTAATCACCAAATATCGTCTCTTAATTTTTTTGTTCAATTTTTACAGTCTATTCCTTCCACATGCAAAACTGTTCTTGATGA